AGTGCTAGCCTCTGTGTCATAAGCCCAAGAGACGGATTATATGTAATGAGCACTTCTGTACCAGTGATTTCTCACTCAGGATACTCGAAAGATGGCTAAATCCTGCGTCTTAGGCACCCATTTACACTCATCTCCACCTCAGCAACTGTTACAGAGAGCAGTTAGGTTCAGCCCTCAGAGTAGTACATTTTATGCCAGCATGCTTTTCCATTGGCTCAATGAATGGAGGAATGAATGGGTGGGATATTGTAATGTGATCTACTTAGGATCTGTTCTTGAAGATAGTGATCTACATGTTATTAGGAAAAGCTGATATTGTAACAACAAGATTATGAGACTGGCATTGGCTTGTTTCTGGGTGCAATTCAAGGAGTTTTAATATTTAAAATCTTGCATCTGGGGGGCCTGGTTATCTACCAGACCAGTTCACTCTGAAGAGAATCCATCTGCCTGAAGTATATCTACCCAGAAGGTTTACTGTGAATCCTCACCAACCATGAGTGGCAATGAGAAGAAGCCTGGAAGTTAGCATTTTCTGAGATGTCCCCTTTCTGTGAAATGCCCCAGATCTGCCCTCTGAACTCCTGGTGCTCAGGAAGCTACTGAAAACTTGGGTTTTCCAATAAAAATTAGAAATACGTAATCTGGTATAAAATAGCCCAAACGCTTTATGATTATGGGATTGAATTGTTCCAGTTTGAATGATTATGTTACATTTGGATGCTTTTCGTATATGCTTATTATATTATTTATAGATATTTTGTATTTTGTGGCTTGTGAGTTGCTTAGAATTGAGTTAATGGAACTAGCAACAAACAAACGTTAATGCAGACAATGGAGAAGCTCTAAGACTCCCTCTCTCTTTTTTTGAGAAACATGTTCATGAATATTTTAAAAATGTGCTTTAGAACAGAGCTTGCAAAATGAAGCATAACATGCGAGAAAGACAACAGGAGCCACTAGACTTCATGGAGCTTTTACTATTAAAACTTGCCACTCCATTAATCTACAGTCAACTCCATGTATATCTTGCACAGAAAAGCTTGTGTAGTGAACAATATCAGTCTGTAAACAGCCTCTGCAACCACCTATTTCTTCAGAGAAGAAAGACAGCTGTTGGATCCAAAGAAGGTGTAAAACAAAGGGCAGTGAAGAGAAAAGATCTCAAGCAAATACCTCCCCAAAATAAAGCACGAAGAACCCTGCAACCCCAAATCTGTTCTAGTGACAAACTTCAATTCCCATTGGATACATTACAAAATCAAAATGTTATAATTATGTACATTGGATGCTAGTTTGAACCACAGAAGCTAGCCTGCTTTATCTGTGTATGACCTGTATTTCTGTGTGTTTTTCTTCAATCTTCTCAATCTATTTCATAACTACATAACCTCTAGCCCCCTGGATTAATATTGTATCCTCCCAAACAGCCTTAGGATGGATGGGATTTTTTTTCCCTGTTAGGGAACTGGAAGGTACATTTAAGGATCATTATTAGTGTCTTTCTCCATTAAAATTCACCATTCAACCTCTCCCCCTAAACAAAATGTGAATCAGGAATTTGATTGTACCCATTCTACTGATGTTTGAATTCATCAACCCAAGTACCCCGGTGTTGGACAGGGCACCTCTCTCTCTCTCTCTCTCTCAATTAAATCACTGCATGAATTCTAATGTGTTTTAAAATAAGGCTATTTTCAAAAATCCGATTTCATTTGTAGTTGCACAGGAATTCTGTTTTCTCTATCTGTACATTGCCCTTTTGGTTCTACAGTATTTCCCAATCAAAGATGGGTGTATAATGTTAATATTATGCAGAGAGTCATTCTGGAAGCAAGCAACCCACTCTATGCATAGAGGAGGAAAAAAGAGATGGAGTCTTCTCATTGTTTTTACCCTTCTTCTGGGCTCCCCCCTGCATGGAATATCTAAGGATGAGCCTTCCCACTGCCTGCTATAGGCTAGCACCCTATAGGCTGTATAGGCACTAGAGGGGAGGAGCTTACTTTCTTGTCCCTCCCCAGTTCTCACACACTGTTGGACATTCTCAAGCCAATCAAAGAAGCTCAGGATTGGGAGAGGAAGAGAGCAAGATCTGAAAATACAGCAAATATGAATCAAGCATCAGATTCCCAACTCTGTTCTTTTGGTAAGGTAAAACACACAAGGAAAATTGATTTATAACAATCTGATACTTTTGAACAAAAATCATGAAGGATAGTGGGGGTGGTGTGGGGCATGGGAGAAGAAAAAGGTACTATTAGTGCTAAATGAAATCACAAAATTTTGCTAGCAAATAATCCGGCAAGAGACAGGGAGTTAGGTCATTTTGCTTTGTTTTCCCCCTACTTTTAGTACCGGGAAGAAGGGCAAAATAAAGATGACTTTGTCCCTTTAACCGCCACTTTTTCTCTCTTTTGTGATGTTTACAGGACACATTCACAGAAGGCTGATCCGTTAGTTCCCCTGCTGTCTTCACACATTGAACACCCAAACTCTTGCCTCCTCCCTGGAAAGCCTGATAATGATGATGATGATGATGATGATGATGATTTATTTTATGAGAACAATATATAGCTTTGCTCTTTTGCCATTGTAAGCACAACATAATATGTGACAACGGCAGCTGGAAAACAGAAGGGAGGCTATTGAGTGTGCAGTTGACCAGCTGTCACAGTCATGGAGATAATCAAGATGTGGAAGTGGAAGTGTAAATCTTAAGGATGTGTTGGAGATGTACTTCTCCCTGCTTGATAGGAGAAAGAAAGGCTAAATGTTCGAGCGATTTTCAGTTTCAGTCCCATTCTGAATTTGGAATAATGCTCTTCTCTAGGATGGGGAACAAGAAACATTTCCCAGAAATCTTAGAATTGTTTCTGGATTTAGTCTCAAGATATCTATGATCCCATATATGGATGAAACATGACTTTGGAAGAAGGCTTGGAGGGGAAAATATTAAGCAGATTTTTTCCCTTTTAACCCATTATCAAATTCAGTTTCCAAGAATTTGCATTAAAATTCTGATGCTGTAAAGAATTTCTCAGCTGACCAAAATGCAGTCAAGTGACTCTCTCTCTCTTTGTGTGTGTGTGTGTGTGTGTGTGTGTGTGTGTGTGTGTGCATGTGTGACCATTGGAACTTTGAAACTGATTCGTAAATAGCTCTGGGGAAGTTGACTGTAATCTCAGACAGTCACTAAATTTAAGCATGGACTATCTATATTTATGATTACAAGGACTTTAAGCATGGACTATCTACCTTTATGATTACAGGGATTTTATGCAGCTTCATTCAAAAATCAGTTTTCAGTCATTTACAAAAGTGGTGTGCTATAAATTGTACCGTGTATTTATTTATTTATTATGAAATGTACTTGCTGCCCATCTCCTATCCCACAGCTCTGGGTGGCTTACAACATATTACATTATAGCAACAACTTCACAGAAATAAAAATGTAATCACAACTACATTCTTAGAAGAAATGCCCATATAAATTCTGGGTCTATCCATCCTCAATATCAATCCCAGAATGCTTGCTTTAAAAAATAAGCCTTCACTGCTTAAATTAGCAATAAGGATGCTGATCTTATTTCTACNTAGAGCAAATAAATGTTTTTATTTTTTTATTTTTTTTTATTAAAAGTTTTATGAAGATTACAGTATAAACCCCCATACCCACCCCAAAACCCCTCCCTCCCCCTCCCCCACTTCCTAGAGCTGAACACAGGGTTACAAATATAATAATCAAAATCTATCTAGCATTAACCAACTATTAAAATAACCTAGTCCATAATGCACTTTAACTCCCCTTTAACACAAATTTAAACAAATTAAAATTAAACACAATAATAAACATATTCATAACCTAAATATTAAACAATACAATACTAATATTAAAAGTAATAATAATATCATATACCGTAATTAAAACTAACAAAAATTCCATTAAAATAAACTATTAATAATAACAATACTCTAGAGTTTACTCATAACCCAAATGAAACTTTTTAGTCCCATATTTATTCTGAATATAATCTATCCATCTTCTCCAGACCGAGATGTATCTTTCTTGTGATTGATCCTTCAAATAAGTGGAAATTTTAGCCATTTCTGCTAAATTTGACACTTTAAGCGTCCATTTTCTATAGTGGACGAGCAAATAATGTTTTGAAGATGCAACTTTGCTGCAACAAGAAGGACGTGCACGCTAAAAGAGCTCAAATAATACATTTTTCTTTCCTTTATATACCATATGTCCATTCCTCAAAAAGCAGAAATAAGGGAGAGGCTTGGAGAACACAGGTCTGGCACACATTCTGGGGCAGACAAAGGTAGCTCTGAGGCTTACAGAATAGGTGATTCTCAACTCCAGGAAAAAAGACCAAGAGGGGTTCTTTGAGAAACTTGAACACGTCCCAAAAGCAACAAATTGTTCCAAAAAGAGCTACTTTTTTTTCTATCAGAGACCTTCGTATGTTGCCTACTCTTCTCTCAATCTCCATGACCTTCGCAGAAAAGGACAGAATGTAATGGAGCAACTCTCCAGCACTTATTTCTTGCTGGCTTATCTCTGATGAACCCTGTTTAAAGCACTTCAGTTGAAGATCCCCCAGGCTGACTCAGTCAGCTTCAAGTTGGTGGAAAAGGGAAGAATTACTCCCAAAGAATGTAAAAATTGAACAGGTCTTTTTTTCCCCTTTCAGGTAAATTGTTCATTGCTTGAGAGGGATTAATACTACATTGAATCGTGTTTGGATAGCGATCCATGCTTCATATAACTAGTCAATAAGCAAAGTTCAGTATTCTGGACCAGCTGGAGGATCCCAACACATGTCAAAAGGGACTTCAGACAGAACATAGTGGAGGAGATTTATGTTTGCCTTCTTCACATAAGCTTCTTGGAGATTTCCACTCTGGAAATTAGGAAGGTTCTTATCCTGTTACCTCACACCTAAAAACAGCTGTTCATGGTAACCACAATGAATATAAAAATGACTTACGAAACATTGTCATGAACTGTTTAGGATGGAGGTTCCAATAGCCCCAGTTTGTTCGATATCCATGCAGTGTGGCATATTCCTCATGATTGTATGCAGGTTCAGTCCCAAAAGTATCAATTACTCGAACACGGCATCTGTGTAAAAGAATAAGGGGAGAAACACCATAGCAGTGATATCTTTGAAAGTCATGCTGCCTACTGCTTAAGTGGAAGTGTCCTTTTATGGAATTTGGGGAATCTTGTGATCGCCAATGAATAGTTACAAACCTCTTGCACCAGGGACCTGTTTATTTGTTTGCTTGGTTGTTATATGTATATCCTGCTTTTGGTTCAAAGGCTGCACTTACTATTTCTGCTTTCCATTGGTCCTCACAATAGCAACTGACAGCTGGCAGAAAGAAAGTGGGGCAAATGCACCTGGTGAATTTCCATGGTTGGGGAATACCCAAACCTGGATCTCTGCAGTGCCAATCCAGCACCTTAATCACTATAACATACTAGCTCAACATTAGACCTGTGTCCAAGAATAGCTTTAACAGTCAGGCACTGAGGAAATTCATTGTCGGAAATGGAAGAATGGGCCCCCAGTGCCCTGCACAACTTCTCTTAGCAGTAGCAATAGCCCTTAGACTCTACGGTGCTTTACCACACTCTCTGAGTGGTTTACAAATGTCAGCATATTGCCCCCCAACAATCTGGGTCCTCATTTTACCCACCCCGGAAGGATGGAAGGCTGAGTCAACCTTGAACTGGTCAGGATCGAACTCGTGGGCATTGGGCATTCTAACCATTGTGCCACCACGATCTCTTCCTTTCCATTTTAGATGATGTATGTGACCTACATGAAAACTGGTTTTCGACTTGAGTTTAATGCTCTTTCAAAAAAGTGCTAGCCTCTGTGTCATAAGCCCAAGAGACGGATTATATGTAATGAGCACTTCTGTACCAGTGATTTCTCACTCAGGATACTCGAAAGATGGCTAAATCCTGCGTCTTAGGCACCCATTTACACTCATCTCCACCTCAGCAACTGTTACAGAGAGCAGTTAGGTTCAGTCCTCAGAGTAGTACATTTTATGCCAGCATGCTTTTCCATTGGCTCAATGAATGGAGGAATGAATGGGTGGGATATTGTAATGTGATCTACTTAGGATCTGTTCTTGAAGATAGTGATCTACATGTTATTAGGAAAAGCCGATATTGTAACAACAAGATTATGAGACTGGCATTGGCTTGTTTCTGGGTGCAATTCAAGGAGTTTTAATATTTAAAATCTTGCATCTGGGGGGCCTGGTTATCTACCAGACCAGTTCACTCTGAAGAGAATCCATCTGCCTGAAGTATATCTACCCAGAAGATTTACTGTGAATCCTCACCAACCATGAGTGGCAATGAGAAGAAGCCTGGAAGTTAGCATTTTCTGAGATGTCCCCCTTCTGTGAAATGCCCCAGATCTGCCCTCTGAACTCCTGGTGCTCAGGAAGTTACTCAAAACTTGGGTTTTCCAATAAGAATTAGAAATACGTAATCTGGTACAAAATAGCCCAGACGCTTTATGATTATGGGATTGAATTGTTCCAGTTTGAATGATTATGTTACATTAGGATGCTTTTCGTATATGCTTATTATATTATTTATAGATATTTTGTATTTTGTGGCTTGTGAGTTGCTTAGAATTGAGTTAATGGAACTAGCAACAAACAAACGTTAATGCAGACAAAGGAGAAGCTCTAAGACTCCCTCTCTCTTTTTTTGAGAAACATGTTCATGAATATTTAAAAAATGTGCTTTAGAACAGAGCTTGCAAAATGAAGCATAACATGCGAGAAAGACAACAGGAGCCACTAGACTTCATGGAGCTTTTACTATTAAAACTTGCCACTCCATTAATCTACAGTCAACTCCATGTATATCTTGCACAGAAAAGCTTGTGTAGTGAACAATATCAGTCTGTAAACAGCCTCTGCAACCACCTATTTCTTCAGAGAAGAAAGACAGCTGTTGGATCCAAAGAAGGTGTAAAACAAAGGGCAGTGAAGAGAAAAGATCTCAAGCAAATACCTCCCCAAAATAAAGCACGAAGAACCCTGCAACCCCAAATCTGTTCTAGTGACAAACTTCAATTCCCATTGGAGTACATTACAAAATCAAAATGTTATAATTATGTACAGTGGATGCTAGTTTGAACCACAGAAGCTAGCCTGCTTTATCTGTTTATGACCTATATTTCTGTGTGTTTTTCTTCAATCTTCTCAATCTATTTCATAACTACATAACCTCTAGCCCCCTGGATTAATATTGTATCCTCCCAAACAGCCTTAGGATGGATGGGATTTTTTTTCCCTGTTAGGGAACTGGAAGGTACATTTAAGGATCATTATTAGTGTCTTTCTCCATTAAAATTCACCATTCAACCTCTCCCCCTAAACAAAATGTGAATCAGGAATTTGATTGTACCCATTCTACTGATGTTTGAATTCATCAACCCAAGTACCCCAGTATTGGACAGGGCATCTCTCTCTCAATTAAATCACTGCATGAATTCTAATGTGTTTTAAAATAAGGCTATTTTCAAAAATCCGATTTCATTTGTAGTTGCACAGGAATTCTGTTTTCTCTATCTGTACATTGCCCTTTTGGTTCTACAGTATTTCCCAATCAAAGATGGGTGTATAATGTTAATATTATGAAGAGAGTCATTCTGGAAGCAAGCAACCCACTCTATGCATAGAGGAGGAAAAAAGAGATGGAGTCTTCTCATGGTTTTTACCCTTCTTCTGGGCTCCCCCCTGCGTGGAATATCTAAGGATGAGCCTTCCCACTGCCTGCTATAGGCTAGCACCCTATAGGCTGTATAGGCACTGTTGGACACACTGTTGGACATTCTCAAGCCAATCAAAAGAGCTTGGGATTGGGAGAGGAAGAGAGCAAGATCTGAAAATACAGCAAATATGAATCAAGCATCAGATTCCCAACTCTGTTCTTTTGGTAAGGTAAAACACACAAGGAAAATTGATTTATAACAATCTGATACTTTTGAACAAAAATCATGAAGGATAGTGGGGGTCGTGTGGGGCATGGGAGAAGAAAAAGGTACTACTAGTGCTAAATGAAATCACAAAATTTTGCTAGCAAATAATCTGGCAAGAGACAGGGAGTTAGGTCATTTTGCTTTGTTTACCCCCTACTTTTAGTACCGGGAAGAAGGGCAAAATAAAGATGACTTTGTCCCTTTAACCGCCACTTTTTCTCTCTTTTGTGATGTTTACAGGACACATTCACAGAAGGCTGATCCGTTAGTTCCCCCTGCTGTCTTCACACATTGAACACCCAAACTCTTGCCTCCTCCCTGGAAAGCCTGATGATGATGATGATGATGATTTATTTTATGAGAACAATATATAGCTTTGCTCTTTTGCCATTGTAAGCACAACATAATATGTGACAATGGCAGCTGGAAAACAGAAGGGAGGCTATTGAGTGTGCAGTTGACCAGCTGTCACAGTCATGGATATAATCAAGATGTGGAAGTGGAAGTGTAAATCTTAAGGATGTGTTGGAGATGTACTTCTCCCTGCTTGATAGGAGAAAGAAAGGCTAAATGTTCGAGCGATTTTCAGTTTCAGTCCCATTCTGAATTTGGAATAATGCTCTTCTCTAGGATGGGGAACAAGAAACGTTTCCCAGAAATCTTAGAATTGTTTCTGGATTTAGTCTCAAGATATCTATGATCCCATATATGGATGAAACATGACTTTGGAAGAAGGCTTGGAGGGGAAAATATTAAGCAGATTTTTTCCCTTTTAACCCATTATCAAATTCAGTTTCCAAGAATTTGCATTAAAATTCTGATGCTGTAAAGAATTTCTCAGCTGACCAAAATGCAGTCAAGTGACTCTCTCTCTCTCTCTCTGTGTGTGTGTGTGTGTGTGTGTGTGTGTGTGTGCGTGTGTGACCATTGGAACTTTGAAACTGATTGGTAAATAGCTCTGGGGAAGTTGTCTTTAATCTCAGACAGTCACTAAACTTAAGCATGGACTATCTATATTTATGATTACAAGGACTTTAAGCATGGACTATCTACCTTTATGATCACAGGGATTTTATGCAGCTTCATTCAAAAATCAGTTTTCAGTCATTTACAAGAGTGGTATACTATAAATTGTACCATGTATTTATTTATTTATTATGAAATGTACTTGCTGCCCATCTCCTATCCCACGGCTCTGGGTGGCTTACAACATATTACATTATAGCAACAACTTCACAGAAATAAAAATGTAATCACAACTACATTCTTAGAAGAAATGCCCATATAAATTCTGGGTCTATCCATCCTCAATATCAATCCCAGAATGCTTGCTTTAAAAAATAAGCCTTCACTGCTTAAATTAGCAATAAGGATGCTGATCTTATTTCTACAGGAAACTGATTCCATAGTAGTAAACCTGTACATCTGTCAGCCAGTTCTATCATGATCTCTTCCACCAGAGATGTTGCAAAACAGGGTCAGGAGATGGCAGAAAATAGCCCCGGTTCTCACCTGTATTTTTTAAAGGAGAGGCCCATATGCTGCTTCATCTGCTGCAGTCCATGGTAGTCCGTATAAATGAGATCAAAGGGCAGAGGAACCATCAAGGGACAATTACCTCGACCAGGTGGCACTCCTAAGTTACTGGAAAGAATAAAGGGATGAGTTGCATTTGTGCACAGAGGAAAAGAAACAGGACAATCTGTTCAGAAGAATTAACACTGTGAAACCATTTGGGAAATGATTACTATTCTCCGTAGGCTGAGTTCACACAACCCAGCTAGGTTAGTTTGTGATTCAGTAAGTTATAGGAACCCAGCCACTGACTGAGCATATTGTGTGAACCAAGCCACAACATTAAACTGTGAAAAACAGTGGTTTCCTGAACAAGAATTCAAGGTTGGAAGTGCAATACAAACATGGCCACAGTGAAATAACTAAGGGAGAGATTCTAAGTTGACCCATCAATTTCCAAGAAAGAACCAACAACCCCACAATACCCGAAAAGCTTAATTCAAAACATGTTCACTGAGAATTCAGTGGGGCTGCCTCCCAATTAATTGCTTATATATGATTGTAGCCAGATTTATTGCCTAGGTGTTTTTGGAGAGTAGGTCACAGACTCCCGGAGGTGCATAAGGCAATGGATGAGGGTCACAAGACTTCTATGCAAAAATCTATCAGACCTGACCCTATGCAGAGGGGACTATGAAAGAGAAGAGAGGAGAAAAGAGAAGGAAAGAAGATGGGCTCTATAATTTCAGGGAAGCTGAGTTGGCAGAGAGAGTGCCAAAAAGAATTGACAGCTTGCCTGTGTTTTGCAACCTGTAGCCTTTTAAGTGAACCTGGTTTAAGGGAAAAAAGCACATTTTTCATTCTTTCTTTTTTGGTCACCCTCTGACTTCCAGCTTTCAGAAAGAGTTTACTGTACGGAAAAATAAAAAAGATCACGCGTCCCATTAGAATATGTTTTTACATTTTATTGGGTTTGGTTTGGTTTTATTTTAGGTATGGTTCTAGCATTCTCTTATCTGATATGTAAAACTTAATTATTAAATGCTGTATATTTCTTGTCTTAACACCAATGAAGTCAGTTATATTCACCTCTCCATCCATGATCAGCTCATAGTATTAGGGGGGTAGCCCAGTGGTGGGATTCAAATATGTGAACAACCGGTTCTCTGTATGGATGCCGCTTCTGGAAGCCTATTCTGGCCCTGGGCAACAAAAAATTAGCTACCGGTTCTGCCGAAGTGGTGTGAACCGGCTGAATCCCACCACTGGGGTAGCCTAAGAACTATGGTTGTTCTCTGTCAAGCAGTGTAAAACTTTTTACTATGTAGCTCTGGCGCTCTGGCCCAGATGAGTGAAAGCTATTGTATCTGGAAGAGTTGATTTGCTGGAGAATATTAAAATGCATATCGCTAGGTAATATATCTTTGTGGCTAGTGGTTACCAGGTGGCTACCAGGGCATCACATTGTCCTGAGGCTCTGGATATTACCAGAAAATTGCAGTACTGAAGAATACTGTCAACCTTGTCACACAGAACATCTTAAGTGGCATTCAAACAGGGAGAGACTGCACCAAATTGCCCACATATAATACTATAGTGGCAGTTTTAACTGAAATGCAACTGCATCATTCTAGTAGGAAGTAGATTTACAACATAAATGGTTCCAAACTTATGCACCTGTATTGTTCTGGTGTGAACATCCACAACAAGTAATAGGATTTATAGCCAATAATGGATAAAACAATTCAGTAACAGTCTTTGATGTAATCTGGATTGTATTGCCATTTTGACCTGCTACGGAATCTTATCTTGTGTATATACTAATACACTTGTCTGATTTCTTGATAGTGTGTGGGAGATAACTGTGCTGGCTTACATGCTTGCAATGACACTATGTGCTTTTTGTTTTTTATAGAGGGCAAATTTGCTTTTCTATGGCCTTGGTTAACATTAAGGAGGCAGCCTTTATAAAAGGGTACTTACTCCTGGAAAACTTGCTCCAAAACCAAACCTGACTGATCCTTTAATTCAATGGAATTGTACAAATTACTATCATTGCACCCTACGCACCAAAGGGATGTGTAGTGAAAACAAAAACAGACCATTTTTTTATACTGAACCACAAAGCCCTCAGGAGAGACTTCCTCATCTTGACAGGTGATCTAAATGCACAGATTAATAAACTGTGGTTTGCCTGGAAGTAATTGTGAGCAAATTTGGGTCAGGTAGCATGAACAAAAATGGCTTGGACTGCTCTGCATCATTAAACTCATTGGCCATTTGCAACTGCTTATTCCAGCCAAGCCCAATCATTAATTAACTTGATAGTCACAAGCACTAAGTGGTGCATCTACATTCTATGTTTCTATTCCTGATCGGCAAACACTTTAGGTCTGCTGCTAATGATGTCCAGGTGTTGAAAGGTGCAGAAGAAGGGTCTGATCATCACCTGGTTTGATGCAAGATTAAACTGAAATTGAAAGCTATATCGCACTGCCATCTACCACCTTAACTCCTGCTGAACTTGCTACCACTTCAGCAACACTATGAAGCATTTTAGATAGAACCATATACAACAGATCTGATGCCCTGATCCCAAGGGAAGGTGATGACAATGTGGAGGAACAGTCATTTGGAATCAGAGGCATCATCAACACATCAGGAGAAATGTGGGGAGAAAGACAGCATTAAGAAATGGATAACAGGTGATACCACTGACTTGAGGAGGGAAAATGTGGTTAATCTTGCAAATCCAACAGGCAAAAAAGCTGACAAAACAAGTCTGCAAAAAGCTGAGAGTGAAAAGGAGCCTTATATGGGTGGCATAACTGCAGAAGTGCTGGCCACAGCTGGGCACTGTGACTAAGAGACATTCTTTTAAACTTTGAAAGAACTGTCGGGAAAGTCCAGTTGTCCCAGAATGAGCATTTGCATTGCAACTGGGTGAGTTGCTAAAACAACAGCCAGAAAATTGTACAATGGTGGAAGCAGCATTTTGATTTAGCCCTGAAATGTTAATCCATCAGATGCATTAGATTGGGAACTAGTTGATCCAGGACCATCCTCTAATACTGCCTATGTATCTGAGCCAAATAGAACAGAGAACAATGCAATATTAAAACACTTAAAAATGGCAAAGCTCTAGGACCTGAGCAAGTCCCCATGGAGGCAGTGAAGACAGATTGGCCTGTAATGCCTCACAGGTTATTTTCAACTATATGGAAAGAACAGGTCCTTCTTGACTGGAAACCTGTTATTGTGCTCATGCTTGAAAAGGGAAATAAATGCAATATGAAAATTATCATGGAATCAGTCCTCTCTTAACAGTTGGAATGATCCCATTGCAGATTATCAGAACATAACTGTATAGCCACTTCTTGTTTAGAGGTTACCTTCCATAACAGCTATTCAGAAATACAATAGTAATTTAAAAAAAAACATTTTCCAACCCACGTACACACTTACAGCCAAATGTTGTGCACACTGGAGTGAAGTATAGCTCTGAATGTTCTGAATGAAATGGGAACCACCAATGATTTTTGCAGACTCTCTCTCTCTCTCTCTCTCTCTCTCTCTCTCTCTCTCTCTCTCTCTCTCTCTCTCTCTCTCTCTCTCTCTCTCTCTCTCTCACACACACACACGGTTTTTTTAGTGGCCACTTCACTTCCAAACAAGGAAAGGGTATAGCGGCTAGCCAATGCAAGTATCCTCAATCTGGAAAGAGCAATCTGGCTTTAGACCAAAGCACAGCTGTATGGATCAGATTTTGACTGTCAGGCAAGTATTTGAAGTGTGTATTTGCTATGGAAAACAAACTACTGTTGTGTTTACAGAGTTCAAGAGTATCTTTGGCAGCATCGATTAAGACTCTATGTAGAAATTATGGTATCTGGCAAACCCAGCCAATCTGATGCTCTCTCAGCCTGGTTGTTTGCTTGCAGATGCTTCATTAGCCATCTAGGTGACATCACCAGTGCCAGTGAGATTATAGTTTGCTCATTTATATGCAGTAACTTGCCCTGTCAGTGTTGGTGAGGGTGTGATTTTCCCCTTGGTCATTCCTTGATTAGGATATAATAAAAGAGGAGGTGGAGCTGCTCTCTATATAAGAAATAACTACATCTCTACAGAAATAGAGCACAACAATGATGAAAACTGTCCTGAATGCATATGGGTCAATATAAAAGGGGGGGAAAATGACATTGCCATAGGTCAGTGGTGGCGAACCTATGGCACGGGTGCCAGAGGCGGCACTCAGAGCCCTCTCTGTGGGCACGCGCGCTGTCCCCCCAGTTCTAGGCCTTCAGCTGGGTTTTATAAAACCTTTTCACTTTAGGCCTCCACTGCCGTGTGCAAAAAAAAAGGTTCAATCAATGTCAATTTCAACTTCTCGCGGGGAAAAAAAAGATCTTGCAAAGTTGGAATTGATTGATTGAACATTTTAGTCCCACCCAGTCTGCTGTTACCACCGCAGCCATGCCCCCTATGGGCCACGCCCACCCAATAGGCCACACCCACCCGGCACCCAACGATGCATAAGTGGGTTTTGGGTTGCAGTTTGGGCACTCGGTCTCTAAAAGGTTCGCCATCACTGCCATAGGTGTATACTACAGGCCACCCAACTAAACACAGGAAATAGATGAACTTTTTGCTAGTCAGCTAACAAAGGTATGTAGGAAGCACATCACAATAGTAATTGGGGACTTTAACTACCCTGACATCAACTGGGAGACAAACTCTGCACCAAGTGGAAGATCAAACAGATTCCTGACAAACTTAGCAGACAACTTTGTCTCCCAAAAAGTAGAGAAGGGAACTAGGGGATTAGCCATTTTGGATCTAATCCTCACTAACAGAGATGAAATGATAGAAGGTGTTGAAGCCATAGGAACCCTGGGAGGAAGTGATCATGCAATATTGGAATTCAACATTGTGGAAGCACAAGCAATAGAACACAGTCAAACTAGAGTCTTGGACTTCAAGAGAGCTAATTTCAATAAACTTAGAGAGGGTTTGGGAAGGATTCCATGGATGAGAATCCTTCAGGGGAAAACAACTCAAGAGCCTTGGGAAATTTTGAAAAGTGAGATAATAAAGGCCCAGTATAGCACAATACCAACAAAGAGGAA